GAGGCTGTGGCCCTCTCCCTCCTGCCCACATCTCTTTTACCTCCCTCTCACTTCCTCTCCCTCCTCTAGGCTTTTCACCTCAGGCTTATTAGCCCCACTTTTCTAGTCTCTCTCTCTACCTCTTCTTAATTCTTCTCTCAGCTTTCCCCATTTTCTCCATCTCTGCTCCCTCTCTTCTCCTCCCACCCTCCTTTCCTCATAGGATGATGGGCGCTGGAGTTAGAAGGGATCCTGACAGCACAGCATGGTGGCTAAAGGTCAGGAACTGGGCAGAGTTGGATTCAAATTCTGCCATTTGACTCACTAGCTGAGTGGTCTTGGGCAAGTTAGAGAGCCTCTTTGAGCCTCAGTTTCTTCTTATGTAAAAAGGGATAATTATATACATTTTAAATTGTTATGAGGCTCTAAAGAGACAACGTACTTAGTGTAAATCCTCACACATTGTAACTCTTTATAAATGGTAGCTGTTGTCATTCTAGAAGCTCTGGTGGAATGGTGGTCACAGAGCTCAGCAGTTCAAAAAGGCATCAGTTTGGACCCACCAGCTGCTTGCTCCATAATGTGGCAATCTGCTTCCCTAAAAATGCACAGCCTTGGAAACCCTGTGGAGCAGTTCTGCTCTGTCATATAGGGTTGGTATGAGTTGGAATCGACTGGATGGCACACAACAATAAGCCAGAGACCAGGGTTCAATTCCTGGCTTGTGTGGTGCTATGGTGCTGAACAGGTTTCAGTAGTGCATCCATACTAAAACAGACGAGGAAGAAAAACCTGGTGATCTACTGAAAATCAGCCAATGGACCACAATTATATGTTGTGAATACAGTCCCCATGAGTTGGGGGCCGATTCAACAGTGGTCAACAACAATATTATCACTCTGTTGTCTTCCTCATCTAGCTTGGTGGTTTGCAAAATCTCTTGGAGCCCAGGAATATTATTGAGGGGTTTTTCCAAGGATGCCTTTGGGGTCAGAAGGTGGGAAGAGAGACATTGAAGCAATAAAGTTCCAAGCTTTCCACACTTGCTTTCCAATTTTATATCTTTTATACAGTTGGGACTCCACAGATTAAAAATTGTCTAGTTGTCAAAAGTTTGGGAAGTTCTGCTTTCATCTGACCCTTGTAGTTTATAGATGAAGAGGCCAAGGCTCCCAGAGAGGAAGTAACTTGCTCACAGAACCAGAGCCAGGTCTAGAGCTGGAAACCAAATCCTCTGTCTTCTCTGGGGGAGTTCTTTCCACACTGCCCTGTTCCCCTTGTCTTCCCACCCCTCTGAGAAGAGCTCAGCTCAGCCCACCACCACTGCCCCAGTGAACAACTCTGAAGGTGCTACCCTATCTCAGGCATTGATTAAGGATGTGTCTGGTTTGAGGAGATCTGGCTGTGAATGGTAGTGGAGGTGGCTCCTGGGAGGGCTTCCTCAGAAGACAGTCTGAATGAGTTTCTCAGCCACCTCTCAGAGAGTGGCCTTGTTTCTTTCCTCCAGGTACCCTCCAAACCCCAGATCATGTCTTTGTGGGATCTGGTCTCCAAGACGCCCCCAGAAAAACTGCAACGGCTGTATGTCGACTTTCCCCAACACCTGCGGCACCTCCTGGGTGACTGGCTGGAGAACCAGCCCTGGTGAGTTCCCCAGATCCTCCTGCCCCACCTCCTTGGTTTCTTCCCCTTTACCCACCCAATTCAGGATTCAGGACCCATTGTTCCACAGGAGCTCTGGTGGCGTAGTGCCTAAGGCATTTGACTGCTAACCAGAAAGTTGGTGGTTCAAACCCACAGCCACTCTGCAGAAGGAAGACTGGGTAATCTACTTCCGTAGTGATGTTGTTGTTGTTATGTGCCATGGAGTCAGACCCGACTCAAAGCGACCTCCTTGGGTTTCCGAGGCAGTGTCACTGAGGAAGTAGATTGCCCAACCTTCCTTCCGAGGAGTGGCTGGTGGATTTGAAGCTTCAGCCTTCTGGTTAGCAGTCAAATGCCTTAGGCATTACCACCTGGGAAACCCAAGGAGGGGTCTCTATGAGTCGGAATTGACTCAAGGGCAGTGAGTTTGATTTTTGGTTTTTTGGATTCCACATGTGGTGCAGAGACTTAGAGGGTGGTCCGTGTCTCCTCAAGACCAGACCACCTGTGTTGACACACGGAGTTCCCGGCCTCTTGACCCCCTTGTTGTTGTTGTTGTTATGTGCCGTTGAGTCGGACCGACTCATAGCGACCCTATCTTGGATTTCCTAGGCAGTATCACTACAGAGGGAGCTCCGGTAGCATAGTGGCTAAGACACTTGCCTGCTAACCAGACGGCTGGCGGTTCAAACCCACCAGCCACTCCTCGGAAGGAAGGTTGGGCAATCCTACTTCCGTAGTGATACTGCCTCGGAAACCCAAGGAGGGGTCGCTATGAGTCAGGTTTGACTCGACGGCACATAACAACAACAACAACAACATCACTACAGAAGTAGTAGATTGCCCAATCTTCCTTCCGTGGAGTGGCTGGTGAGTTTGAACTGCCAGCCTTCTGGTTAGCAGTCAAATGCCTTAGGCACTATGCTACCAGAGCTCCCAGACCCCCTAAGTAGGCCAAGCCAAAAAGGAGAGAGGTCAGGGCTGGGGCAAGGGCACTTCCTGTAACAGCTGGAAAATGGGGGAACAAGAGGCAAGGATGAGTGCACCAAAGGTCTAGAAGGAGAATAAGAAGGGAAAGAAGCCTTGGAGATGTTTGCTGTGGGGTGGAGGGTCCAGAGAGCTGCAGAAGCCCTGGTCTGAGTGGAGCAGCCTCACCCTGATTTCCTGCAGGGAGTTCCTGATCGGCTCTGATGCTTTCTGTTGCAAAATGGCCAGCGCCCTACTCTCAGCCACTGTCCAGCGCCTTCAGGCCTCGGCTGCAGAGCAGGGGGAGGAGAGCACCATCATGCAACACATCAGCACCCTGGAGGTGGAAGCAGGAGGGGAGGGGACAAGGCTGGGCTGGGGTGGGGCCTGGGTGGAGCTGAGTGATGGGAGAGCCTTGGATGCTGGAAGAAAATTGGTCTTCCTGTGATTCACTATTAGCTAGCATGCAAATTAGATTTTAAAAGCATGCGAGCACATGAAAACTTCTGGAGTCTACAATTACGTGTCCTTTCAGTGTATGTGTGAATGAGGAGTGGGGAGGTGCTGGGTATGAAGGAAGGCATGGGTCAGAGTTAAGCCTAACTCTGCTTCCTGCCCTCACAGAGCATATACCAGAGGGATCCCTTGAAGCTGGTGGCCACATTTAGACAAATACTTCAGGGGGAGAAAAAAGCTGTAATGGAACAGGTATTGTGATACCCCACTCCCCAACCCAACTCAACTCCCTGAGGCTTCAGCTTGAACCCTGAGAAACCAGAAAATTATTTGAATCTCTGGAAAGGTTCGGTGTTCCAGATCTAAGAGAACCAAAGGAGGTTCCTAGGGTCAGCATGAACTCCAAGCCAACTCAGGGAAGTTTCAAATGAGGGATTAAACGTAGTAAGGCCTGAGGAGGACAGAGCAAGGGGTGAGGAACTGATTCCACCAGAAGGAGAGCTGTCTGATCCCCAGGGGACCCCAAAAGGTCAGAAAGAGCTGCCAAAGGGGAGAGGGGAGCCAGACAAGTGATGTTTCCCTTTCTGCAGAGCATGGTGGAGTGTACCCCTTCAGGGAGTGGAGGCTAGGTGTTGAGGGATGGACAGAATGTCTCACTTCTTGGCATCTGTCCTTCCTGTGCAGTTCCACCATCTGCCAATGCCTTTCCACTGGAAGCAGGAAGAACTCAAGTTTAACACAGCTCTGCAGAAGCTGCAGCACCGACTGGGGGAGATCCACCTTCTCCAAGAAGCCCGGCAGCAGGGGGCTGAGGCTGGCCAAGGTGGGAGCCAGGATCTGGAACCCCAGAAGTATTCTGGAGAGTGTGTGGGAGTAATCCCACCTTGGACCTGAGCCCTAACTGAAACTCACTTTTTCTTCACCCCTAATTTCTATCCCCATCCTCAGTGTCTCTGCACAGCTTGATAGAAGCACCTGCCAATGGGACCAGGCAACAGGAGGTGAGTAATGGACTGAGAGGTGGAGCCTGAGCTCAAAGTGCAGCTGGAGGAATGGAGGTTAGACCTCCAAGAGGCAAGAGGCATGGGGTGAGAAAAAGAACCCTATCCTCCAGTGCTGGGTGAGGAGGCCCTTGCTTGACCTTGGCTTAGGCCTCTCCCTGCCTACAGGCCCTGCCCACGTTGCTGCAGGAGTCTGTGGGGGAGCTGGAGGTGGCCCAGGCCCTGGTACTGAAGAGGATCCAGATTTGGAAACGGCAGCAGCAGCTGGCCGGGAATGGTGCACCCTTTGAAGAGAGCCTGGCTCCACTACAGGAGAGGTTGGGGCAGGGCTGATGGGGAAGGGGGATTGACAGGGGGTAGGCACCTGCTGTCCCTGCAGGTATGAGAGAGACAAAGCTAGGCAGGAGTGTCTTGGAGTGGGCCAAAACTCAGAGAAACCAGTTCCAGCAGGACAGGTGCACACCACTGTGTGGGTTCTGTCCCATACAAGTGCGCCTGGCCAGGGGGACCCAAGTGGGACTAATCCAACCCATGCTTTTCTCTTCAAGTCCTGAGTCCAGAGGAATGGGAGCCTTTTTCTATTTGGTCTGTTGGGTGGGTGGTTATTGTGTGTTGTCGAGTTGATTCCAACTCGTTACAACTCCATGTGACTGGCCCAGAGGTTTTTTTGGCTATAATCTTTATGGAAGCAGATTGCCAGGTCTTCTTCCCTTGGAGCAGCTAGATGGGTTTGAACTGCCAACTTTTCAGTTAGCAGCCAAGTGATTAATCATTGTCCCACCAGGGCTTCTTTATTGAATGGGTGCACCTTCCAATTTGTGTAAAAGCATTATACAGTATTATATGTGCTGGCAGTTGCCCTAGTACCAGAACCCTGGTGAGAGACAGCTGGGTTTCCCCAGCTGGCCAGGGTACTGAGAATGAGCTCAGGGTTCCTTTAGCCCAGGTGCCTTGTGGGCACCCACTGCTCACCCTTCCCCTCTACCAATACTGTCCTGCTTTCCTGGGTGTAGGGGAAGAGGGTCTGGGTTTAAGCAGGCAGTCTAAATCCTGTGCTCCCTAACCCCTGTCCTGGCCCCAGGTGTGAAAGCCTGGTGGACATTTATTCCCAGTTGCAGCAGGAAGTGGGGGCGGCTGGTGGGGAGCTTGAGCCTAAGATCCGAGCTTTGCTGATCAGCCGGCTGGATGAAATCCTGCGAACCCTTGTTACCAGGTATGCCTCAGGAGCTCCCAGCCTGGCCTACTGCAGACGCCCCTGAAGGAAGTTGTGGGGAGGGTACCAAAAGTGAGCCAGCCTCTAATTTCTTGTGTTCTCTTCACTCCTCTTAGCTCTTTCCTGGTGGAGAAGCAGCCCCCCCAGGTTCTGAAGACTCAGACCAAGTTCCAGGCTGGGGTCACATTTCTGCTGGGCCTGAGGTTCCTGGGGGCCCCAGTCAAGCCCCCGCTGGTCAGGGCTGACATGGTGACTGAGAAGCAGGCCAGGGAGCTGATCATGCCCCAGGGGCCCAGCACTGGAGTGTAAGCCAGGGCTAGGGACTAGGGAAGGCCTATTGGTGTGATGAAGGCCAGAGGTGTCTGAGGGGCTGGCACCAGAAAGGTGGGGTGATAGGGAGAGAGCCATGGGGAGTGGGACCCTGAGTGATCAAGGCAGAGGAAAAGGAGGGAACCACCCAGGGGCTGGAATGGGGTGGGGGCATCATGATTTGGCCAAGATGGGGACTCCTCTTTTAAGAAGTCAAGGTGGGGGATGGAGATTTGTGGCTAATGACAGCCACCAATGGACTCAGGCTCCTCACTTTCATGGGCCCAACTGGGATGCGCTCGCTCACTCTGGTCTCCCCTGGCAGAGAGAGCAGTGGGGAGATCATCAACAACACAGTGTCCCTGGAGAACAGCATCCCTGGGAACTGCTGCTCTGCCCTGTTCAAGAACCTGGTGAGGGGCTTCAGGGTACAGTGGGCGAGAAGGATGTGCCAGGAGCCTTAGGCTATGGGACTGTTCTGGGAGAGGGTGCTGGTGCTGGGGGACCCAGGAGAAGCTGTCTCTGCCCTCACCCTTGATTTCCATCACCGACCCCCCCGCCTCCCAGCTTTTGAAGAAAATCAAGCGGTGTGAGCGCAAGGGCACGGAGTCCGTCACTGAGGAGAAATGTGCTGTGCTTTTCTCCACCAGCTTCACACTCGGCCCCAACAAACTTCCCATCCAGCTCCAGGTGAACTGAGGCCCTAGTCCTGCTTCCAACTGGGACCCCAGGTGCCCCTCCAGCCACACACTGGGGCCTTGAGCCCGTAACCTTTCTAACTGCCCCTGCCCCATGTGTCTGGGATTCTCAAACCCTGGGGCTAGGAAGAAAGACTTGGAAATCTGCTTCTGTCAAGATTACAGCCAAGAATATCTTATGGAACAGTCACACATGGGGTCACCATGAGCCAGAATTGACTCCTCACAATGGGTTTTCTTGGTTCTGTTGTTATTTTTGAGCCAAGGTGAGCAGGAAGGGGTGAGAGCATATGCCTGGGAAGAATACTCTATAGCACTCATTCAGTGCTTTTTATAGACCAAGGCACTGTTTTAAGTGATACCTACACCCTGGTGGCTGAGTGTTCAGCTGCTAAGCCAAAAGTTTGGCGGTTCGAACCCACCCAGTAGCTCTGGGGGAGAAAAACCTGGTGATCTGCTCCCATGAAGATTACAGCCTGAAAAAGCCTATGGGGAAGTTCTGTTCTGCTCACTGTGAGTCAAAATTGACTCAATGGCACACAACAACAACAGCACACGTACACTTAGGTTTTCACAATAACATTATGAGTTAGTTGCTATTACTAGCCTCATTTTATAGATAAGGGACACAGAGAGTAAGTAATTCGCCCAAGGTGGTACAGCTCCTAGGTGTCAGAGCTAGTATATGAAACCCGGAAATCTGGCTTCCTGGGATTGACTCATATCTACTTCTGTACAGTAAGGCCCTAGCTGAGCCTCAGCAAGGGTTTAATAACATACCCTAAGCTTTTAACTATGTCACGCAAGTCCGATAACTTCCCTACACACTCAGAACCAGCCCCCTGAGGAAACCTCTTACCCCAGTTAGAAGAACCCCCCCCCCCCCATTCATCTTCTTCAGGCCCTATCTCTGCCCCTGGTGGTCATCGTCCATGGCAACCAAGACAACAATGCCAAAGCCACCATCCTGTGGGACAATGCCTTCTCTGAGATGGTAAGGAAAGACCCAAAGTGGGGGGACAGGGCAGAATGTGTTTTAACATGGAAGGCACAGCCTAAGAGAGCACCTGTGCTGCTGAAGGGCAGCAGGTATATAAAGATAGATGCCACCTTGACCCTTTCTCATGGGCCTGCTTTTGTCCTCCTTCTGACATCTTTTCATCCCAGTCTTGATGATTATCATGTCATAGCACCATAAAACCATCATTGAAAAGGCACTGTCTTTGTGAATGAATGAGGGGGATAATGCTGGGAGGGATGAGATCTGAGGGAGTGGAAGGGATGAGGGCTGCTCTAAAGAAGAATGGGGGTGACAGCCTGAGATGCCCTCTCCTTTCCCCTCCACCCCAGGAGCGTGTGCCCTTTGTGGTGGCTGAGCGGGTGCCCTGGGAGAAGATGTGTGAAACTCTGAACCTCAAGTTCATGGCTGAGGTGGGGACCAACCGGGGACTACTCCCAGAGCACTTCCTCTTCTTGGCCCAGAAGATCTTCAATGACAACAGCCTCAGTATGGAGGCCTTCCAGCACCGTTCTGTGTCCTGGTCACAGTTCAACAAGGTCATTCTCCTGTCCTTCAAACTTCCCACCCTCCTGCTTCTCATCCCAGAGTACTTAGGCCTTCCCACTCTCCACTCAGCGTGACCCCTGGGATCTTCACTGTGCTCTGTCATGGCCAGCAGGGAGGCTTTGGTTATGGCCCAGGCAGGCAGATGCCTCAGATCTGAGGGCCAGCCCAGAGGGCACTCTCTCCAGTATCCCTCAGGTTTTGGGAGACCCTCTGTCCTCCCTCTTCACCATTGGCTTACATGCCTCTCCCAGATTGTAAACACAGCTCTGATTCAAAATAACTTTGGCCTGTTGGGAAAATAGTTCAATCCAGGCTGGAATTCCACAGGGATATGTGGAATAATAATAGCTACCATGCATTAACAGCTTACTATATGCCAGGCACTGTGCTTAACATTTTGTGTATGTAATCTTATGTAGTCCTCCCAACATCCCTTTGAGGCAGGTACTATTATCCCGTTTTACAGATGAGGAACCTGATGCTCAGAGGGGTTTAAGTAGTTTGTCCATGGTCTCACAGCAGGTGAGTGGCATGGCTGGGATGGAACCTCATATTCCTGACTCTTGCTTTCAACTACTGTATTTGACTGCCTCCAAAACAGGGTGACCCAGGACTGGGTGGGTTACAAGAACAGGGGGAAATGGAGATCTGGGTGTCTTAGTGGCAACCAGCTGGATAAATGGCAGACATGTATTGCTCCCTTAGAAAAAAAAAAAAAGAAGAAAGAAAAGCCACATGATCAGAAGATGGGTTAGTAAAGGGAGCATGACCCTCACACCTGGCAAGTCGCCTTCCCTGGACTCCACCTCAACCAGGCCTCCTTAAGGAGGTAGTGTAGCATAATGGTTTTAAGGGGCTCTGGTGCCAGATCACCTGGGGTCAAATCCTGGCTCGGCTTCTCACCAGTTGTGTGGACCTGGGCAAACTATTTAACTTCTCTGTGTTTCTGTAGTAAGATGGGATAGTACCTACGTTCATAGGCTTGTAAAGGTCAGATCTATTAATTATGGAAAGGGCTTGGAATAGTGCCTGGCATACAATAAGCTTGAGTGTTAGCCATTACCATGAATAAGGTGTCAGGGTGTCAGTTTGGTTCCTGAACCCTGTGACTGTTGCATAGGTACTCAAGTATGCAATACATATACCTCACCCCCCAACCCCTGCACACACGTTCCTCCTCTCCTCCACACACAGGAGATCCTGCTGGGTCGTGGCTTCACCTTTTGGCAGTGGTTCGACGGTGTCCTAGACCTCACCAAACGCTGTCTCCGGAGCTACTGGTCAGACAGGTGAGTCCTTGCCCCAGGTGGCCCGGGCAGCTGTATCTCCAGCTCCCTCTCCACCCCCAGTGTCCCCATCCCCATGCTCTTCTTCATCCTGGCCAGGCTGATCATTGGCTTCATCAGCAAACAGTACGTCACTAGCCTTCTTCTCAATGAGCCTGATGGGACTTTCCTCCTCCGCTTCAGTGACTCAGAGATCGGGGGCATCACCATTGCCCATGTCATCCGGGGCCAGGATGGTGAGGTCACCCCAGCCAATCCTCTACCTCTGTGCTTGTGCCTTCTGGGGTTTCTTCTGGGGAGACATCTCCTAGCCTTCCTTGATGTCAACCCTGACCTTCAGGAAATTCTCCCTTAGGCCCAACTTCTCTTCTTCCTTCTGTGGTCCCAACTTCCATCTTCTCACTGTGAGCTCTGTGTGAATGGAGATGAGTGAGTGTCCCTCCCTCAGGACTCCCATTCTGGGGGCCTCTCTCCCTTGTCTTGATAGATTGAGAATGAGTTCTGTGGTGGGGCATGGGAGGGGAAGAACATCTGGACAGAGGGACCCAGAGTCTCAATTCCTGTTGTAGGCTCCCCACAGATAGAGAACATCCAGCCTTTCTCAGCCAAAGACCTGTCCATCCGCTCACTGGGCGACCGAATCCGGGACCTTGCTCAACTCAAAAACCTCTACCCCAAGAAACCCAAGGATGAGGCTTTCCGGAGCCACTACAAACGTGAGCTGGAGCTGGCAGTGCTACCTCCTTCCTGTCACCTGCTTCCTCTCTCCTTGACTGTCATCCTTAACTTCCCTCCTTATCTTCTTAGTCCAGCTTCTCCTGGCCTCGTATCCACCATGCACACCTTCTCTATCTCCCTTCCTTCCTACCTCCAAACACTCCATGTCTGTCCTTTCGTCCCCACAATAGCTGAACAGATGGGCAAAGATGGCAGGGGTTATGTCCCAGCGACCATAAAGATGACTGTGGAAAGGTGAGTGTGATGTCATGGGTGGTGAGTGGGGCTTGGAGGCTTGCACTTATCTGTAAGAAGAGGTGGTAACATCAGGCACATGTGCTTTGTGTCCACTTTCCAGGGACCAGCCACTCCCCACCCCAGAGCCCCAGATGCCCGCCATGGTGTCCACCTATGATCTTGGGATGGCCCCTGATTCCTCCATGAACATGCAGCTTGGCTCGGATATAGTGTAAGGAGCTTGAGAGACAAGAGTAGGGCTGGTCTGTGCAGACGGGATTTCAGCGTGGGCAGCCAGGAGAGCTGGCATTGGGGCCTGGAGCAGGGAGTTTTCCTTTCCTTGAAAGGGATTCCCCTTCCATAGGATGGGCTGGGGGGAGAGCCCGGAAGAAGGGCTGGCATCAGAAGGTGTGCTTTCTTTCCCCAGGCCCCCGGTATACCCACCACATTCTCACTCTATCCCGTCATATCAAGCCCTTTCCCCAGAATTGGTCAATGTGTTGCCAGCCTTCCAGGAGTAAGTCAGGGGTGGTGGTGGCGGTGGGGAGGAAGTACCCTTCTGTGTGTGTGTGTGTGGGGGGGCACTTGCATTTGTTAGGGAAGCTCCTCTATGAGAAAGGGCAGCAAATGCCACACTCCTTGTCTCTTCTGGCCCCGCCACTGAGGCAGTAGTGGTTAAGACTGCTGGGTTTGAATTCCAACTCTGCCTCACTTAAGAACTTTGGGCAATTATTTAACCTCTGGGGCCTCAACTGTAAAATGAGGGCTAATAATGACTACCTTATAGGGTTATTGTACAGGTCAAGTGAGTTAGTTATATGTGTAAAGCTGAGCAGAGCACCTGGCTTCTAGCAAGGGCTGTTTAAGTGTTAGTAGTATTACCTCTCCTTCCCTTGAAATCCAGTGTCACTCATCTGCTGTCTTGATTTTATTCATCTGTTTGGCCTCAAAGTGGCCTAGATGCTTGTGTCCCTTAAGCAACACCTAGGTGCTTATTAACACCTGTTGTTGTTGTTAGGTGCCATCGAGTTGATTTTGACTCAGGGACCACATTTTGACAGAGTAGAACTGCCCCATAGAACTTTCTATACTGTAATCTTTATAGGAATGGATTGCCAGGTCTTTCTCCCTCTGGGTGGCTTCGAACTGCCAACGTTTCAGTTTGCAGCTGAGTGCTCAACCAGTGCACCACTAGGGCTTGTTTGTTAACTCTTCACTGACTGCCTTTGAGTCAATTCTGACTCATAGTGACTCCTATTGGGTTTCCAAGCCCGTAAATCTTTACGGAAGCAGATTTCATCTTCTTTCTTCCACCGAACAGGTGGTGGGTTTGAATACCCACCTTTTGGTTAGCAGCCAGCTGCCTTAACCACTCCACCACCAGAGTTCCTTTATATTAACTCTTAGTCAAGACTTAATATCTCCTCCACCGGGAGTTGAAATGGGGGTGGGGATTGGTGGGCTTAGAACATTAGAGGTTAGCTAATCCAACTCCCCCACACCACCTCCCGTTTTACAGATAAGAAGCCTTGAACTCAGACCCTAGAAATCTTGCTTGCTCAAGGCCATGCAGTTAGTGAAATATTAAGTCAGGACAGGGAGCCAGAACTTGTTTCTTCACACTGTGGTCTTAACCCTGCCCTTGCAACACGCTGCCCTTGCCCAGCCTGCCTTCCTTTGATGGTGCCCTCTTTTCTGCTTCCAGGCCTCACCTGCAGATGCCGCCCAGCCTGGGTCAGATGAGCCTATCCTTTGACCAACCTCACCCTCAGTGAGTGACAAACCCCTCCTAACCACGTGTTTGCTAGTCTTTCCCAATCTCACCCCCTCACCTATCTCCTGTCCTGGTCCTGGCAGGGGTTTGCTGCCGTGCCAGCCTCGGGAGCATGCTGTGCCCACCCCTGAGCCCCTGCTCTGCTCAGATGTGGCCATGGCGGAAGAGAGCTGCCTGAGCCAGCAGGTGGGAGGGTTCCCTCAGGGAACTTGGTGAGTATTAGCCTGGGGTTGTTGCTGGGTGGGGCTAGAGGATGGGACTCATGCCTGCCCAACTGCATCTCCCCCTTCCTCCTTGCAGGGTCGGTGAAGACATGTTCCCTCCCCTGCTGCCTCCCACTGAACAGGACCTCACCAAGCTGCTCCTAGAGGGACAAGGGGAGTCAGGGGGAACACCTTTGGGAGCCCAACCTCTCCTGCAGCCTTCCCCCTACGGGCAGTCTGGAATCTCACTGTCCCATCTGGACCTAAGGACCAACCCCAGTTGGTGATCCAGCTGGAGAGGGAGCCCAGAGAGACAGCTCTTGTACTCCCATGGACCTGCTCCGGACACCTGCCCATGCTCCTGCCAAGTGGCAGATGGGGAGGGTGCCCTCCTACCCCCACCTAGTCCCTGGTCAGGAAGAAAAGACTTTACCAGAAGAATGTACTGTGTTGGGCTGATCCACTCCTTCCCTCCCACTCCTACACATATGTACCCCTGGCCCACCCCTTCTAGAACAGGAAGGGAAGTTCAGGCTTCAAAGTGAGACATGCACCAACACACCTGCAGGCGGCTGCACATGCAGTGCACACATACAGCTCTCCGTGGAAGCTGGGATTGAGCCGGAGGGCGGCAGGACAGGAGCACAGGTTAGGGCATGAGTGCTCCTCCGTCCACTCCAAGCCAGGGCCCAGGACACATGCGTAGAAACATGCAATGACATGCACTGGTTTGCACTAAATGTTGGGAATGGAGTGGATGGGTCAGGGTGCCAGTTCCCAGAGAAAAGAGGTGACAGTTCAGGGCCCCTAGTTGGGAGCTCTGGTGGCGTGGTGCCTAAGGCATTTGACTACTAACCAGAAGGCTAACGGTTCAAACCCACCAACCACTCCTTGGAAGATTGGGCAATCTACTTCTGTAGTGATACTGCCTCGGAAACCCAAGGAGGGGTCGCCGAGTTGGATCTGACTCAATGGCTGTGGGAGGAGAGGCGGTTCCGTGTATTTGGTTACTGACGAGTTTTGCCCAGATTTAAAAAAAAAAAAATCCCTAACTTCCCAATTCCTGCCAGTCAGATGGAAGCTTTTGGTTATGTATATGAGGTCGTGCAGAAGTACAAGGGCTGTTTCTTCATGTATAGCTGTGTGAAAGTATATGTATGTACCTGAGACATGTTAATGTACAGATATCACACCTAAGGACCTGTGTCTATTTGATTTTGCATGTGTGACAACACAAATTTGCGAGTCAGAGATGCTGCACAAGGCCCCAGTAGTGCACTGGTACTCTGTTTTGTTATCCGGATGTGCTTTGTTTTTAGTATGGACTGTATGACCATGGTACCTGATTATGGCTCTGGCTGCCAGGAGCCAGGGGGCGAGAGTGTGGGGATGGGCCCAGGTGTGTGCTTACTCCAGTGGGTTAGGAGCTCTACCTGCTACTCCTCTTTCCCCACCCACCACCAACCTTCCCCCACTCCCCTATCCCATGCCACCCTTTCTCCCTCTGGAGGGGGAGGGCGGTCATAGATCCTAAGCCATAAAATAAATTTTATTCCAAAATAACAAAATAAATAATCTACTGTACACAATCTGAAAAGAAAGATGCTCTAACTGCTCAGATAGGTGCTGTAGTCCAGCCCCCAGCTGGGGGTCCCCCTGAGTCCAATCCAGACCTCCTGAGGGGGCTGGTGAATGGGATCCCATCTCCATCACTCCCTCCCAGAGAGGGCAGGAGGGAAAGGACTGCTGAGGGCTTGGAGAAGAGAGATGGGGATCAGTGGGCTAACTGCAGCACTTGTTAAATTAAAGAAACAAACTAGAAGCACAAAAATGGGGAAGGGGAGGGGAGAAGGGGCAGTTCCAGTGTCCCCAGGCCCCCAGTTCTGGGGTAAACGTTTCCATTTTGAGCTGCTGGACTTTCCCAGGGAAGCTCCCCACCCCAGGTCCAAACTGAGTTCAACAGCTCACACCTGTTGGAACCTAGAGAATGGGAGTGTGTTGTATAAATGAGGGGGGAACCCCTGGAGGCAGAGTCCTCGCCCCCTTGCTCTGGGCAGGGGTGAGGGGCACCAGGCACCCTCCTTATGTCCTCTTGCCAGACCCCTGCTTGTTATTGCTTGAAGCCCCATAGTCCTTTGCCCATGGAGCAGGTGGGGAGGCAGGAGAAGGGCAGCAGAAAAATCCAGGCTGTGACTAGACTCCAGGGATGGTGGATTGGGGGTCGGTCTGTGTGAGCCATAAGTCCTGGTTCCAGGTCTGAGGACGCCAGTCTGCCCCTCACTGCCGGCTGGCCTCAGCCTCCACTTTCACGCTGCTCCTGCGCCCCTCCACCAGCGCAGGGTGGGATCCTGGAGCAGGGCATCGGTCCAGTAGTCCTTCCTCAAACTCTGTAGGGAGAAAGAGGTTGTCAGGAGGCTATGAGGGTGGAGGCTGCAGAGAGCGGAAGCTGGGAACAGAAGCAGGGACAGAGAGGCTGTGGAAGATGAGCCCCATTTACTGAATTACTGCCTCCTGCCCACTGCAGGTGTACACAGGGGAGGTTCCAGACCAAGTGAACGTGCCCCCCTCCCCTTCCTGGCTATGTATAGCTCTGTCTCTGTATGGGTCTCTCTGTCTCTCCCGCCTCCGTTCAGCTGGAATTTCTCGTTCTGTCAGGAGTTGCGGGGGTGGCTTGGCTCTGACCTCTCCCCCTCCCCCCTCCCTGGGCTGTACCACCCCCACTCATCCCTGGCCCCCTCCCAGAACCCACCCACCTTATCATGGCTCCCCAAGTTTCTGGGAAGCCAAACCAGGGGGATCATAGGAAACCAGCCTTCCAGTTCCTCCCCTACAAAGAGCCCCCCTTCAGTCCCCGCCCCCACTTCCCACCCACACACAGTTTAAAAATACCAAGCCAGGGTTGGTGGCTTTATCTGCTGCGTCACTCTCAGCCCAGCAGATGCCCAGCCCTCTGCCGGCCCACTCCCCTTCCCCCATCCACACACAATGCATCCCCCTTTGGGCTCCTCCACACCAAGCTGGACAACGCCCCCCACCCCATAACTCCCAGCCTGCTCTGTCCTCCACCCACACTGCTGCATGTTATATACCAGCTTCCCTTACTGGTGGCCCTCCTTCCTGCTCCCCTTCATCCCCTGTTCTCTCCACCCTCTAGCTCCCCCTGCACAGGTCTCCATTAGGGTCAGACCCTCCCCAGTGGGAAACAACCTGCAGAGGCCTCCTTTTCTGAACTCAAGGTCTGGTTGGCTGGTGCCTACCTCCTACTGCCATCTTTGGCTAATACAGCCCTCTTCCTCCCTCCTGGCCCCAGGACACCCAGGATAGCTGTGTGGGGCCGGGATGGCTGGGGTGCTTGGGGACAGCACTGCTGGCTGCCTCACCTGCGAGAGGCGGCTTCGCAGGCACACAGGGGCTAAGGCGGCCCACGCGGTCATGGGAGACGAGGCGGGCCAGCCGCAGCCCCTCGTCCATCAGTGTCTGCTGCAGGATGTGGCGACTCCACAGCCCATGGGCTGGCAATGCCAGAGGCAGGTCAGCAGGGGGCGGCGTCAGCCTTGGGCATGACCCCACAGCTGTGGGCATGGGCATGGGTCAGATAAAGGACTGCAGCCAACTGAACCCCCACCCTCAACCGCACAGCCAGACCCGTAAGATGCTCTGCCCCCATCTAGTCAGGCCTCCCACTTCTATTGCAGGCAGCTGGCTCCTGGCTCCCTCCACCCCACACCTCAGTGAGGAGAGAAGTATTCTGATGCCCACTTACCCTGCAAGTGTCCATCTAGACTCTCCCCAGACAGGCTGGCACTGTCTTCCTCCAGGCTAGGGCGATACGGGGGTGCATAGGACTCAGGGCCTGGGGGAGGCTGCTGGATTTCAGGGTGACTCTGTTCTCCAACCTGTGAATGCCCCAAAAGGGTAAATGAGGACATGGCAGGGGAAGGGGTTGGGGAAGGCTGCCCCACCTCCCCTCACGTGCATCCTGGAGGACCCACCTCCTGTTTCAGCTTCTTCAGGGAGGGGCCTCCCAATTCTTCAGGGTGAATCCTGAAAAGATGGAGAGAAATGAGCAGGTGCGGGCTGGGAAGGGCCACTCGATGAGCAGAACACAGATTCCAACCAGGGGCCCATGCGAGAGACTGCAAAGAAGCTGGCTGGCCAGGACACTCCAGTTTAGGCACTACAGTTCAAAGACCTTGGGTGAGCCCTGAAGGGCATGGAAGAGAAAACTATATCTCAAACAAGTCAACATTGCCAAAAGTAGTATGTGAAGGCGAGAGGCTTAGAAGAGCCTGAACTGGAGGGTTAGGCCATGAGCCATCTCCTTGGCAAGGTTCCACTCAAAGAACCTGGAAGAGGTCTCACCTAGAACCCTTCAAGGAAGACAAGTAGGTGCTTTCGCGGGCCACTTGTCGGGACAGGGAGAAGAGCTCCACCCTTCGCAGTAAGAGTGTGTTGTCCCTCATGCAGAACTGGGCAGCAGCCTCATTGATGGTCAGCTGTGGAGAGGGGGCAGTCAAAGATCAGTCAGACTCCTAACACCTCCCAGTGCCTTGTCCTCATACTCCTTCACCATCAGAGGTCCATCCACTGGATGCTCGTTTTGGTTTACATACTACATAGGAGTTTTCAAAGGAAAGAGAACAGAATCAGCTTCCCACAAACATCTGGGACCTCCCTTCACATCTATAGAGTCCTGAATAACACTGAGCTGAACAACTGGGTTCTAGTCTGTCTCCATTTTCCTCTTAGTTGAAGAGGGAAGCACTGTAGCTGCTAGGATCAGGGTATGTGGAGGAGGTGATCAGGACCTTGGTACCAAATCAAGGAGCAATGACACAGACTTAGGATGCACTGGGATTCTCAGATGAGGGGGTGAGGCCCAGAAGCTGATCCATCCAGGGAGGCTGGGTCCTCACCTCGTGTAGGCTGAGCTGCTTGCCCTCCCGCCGCTTGGAGTCGAAGCGGCCGTAGATGATGCTGTACTTGCGAATCTCCTCTTCCTTCTGACTGTCACTATCGTCCATCTCAAAAATGTGACCCACGCTCCGTGCTAGCTTCTTATTCAGCTTTAGCAGTGAGGTCACCTCCCCAGCATCACCCCTTGGGAAGCTCCGGAAGATCCTCTCGACACTCTCTACCACCATTCGCACCATCTCCGGCTCCAATCGGTCTGGACCACCCCCAGTCCCACTTGCTGCTAGCCCCCCAGCCCCAGTCCCCTCAGGGACTCCTCCCCCTGCAGGTGGGGAGAAGGGGGGTGAGCCAGCCTCCTCGTCTCCTCCCGCCCCAATGTCCGACTCTGGAGTGCTCCGGCCTGGCCAGATCCGGGGATCCCCTGCCCCAGGTCCCCCTGGCAGTGGTGACAACTTCTCCCCAAGTTCCAGGGGACTCTTGGGGCTGAAACTGCGGGCACTACCCGCCTTTTCCCCTGGGCTGCCGTGCCCATTGCTCATGCTCCCTTTCCGGGTACCCGCAGTCTCAGAGATCTTGAAGAGCGGGATGCTGGAGACGGGTACGGCAGGCACTGGCTGGCTGAAGAGCCCTGGGTTGGTGGCCCACTCTCTCAGTGCCTTCTGTAGGCGCCGGACATGGAGGGGTTTAGTGGCCATGCCCACGAGTGCCATG